TAAATCTTGGCCCAGTTTTTCATGACGATGATTACAGTCCCTCTCATAATCACATTATGTCTGTGGAGCAGGCAAATGAACTGTAATCAAAGCTCCCAAAGCAAAAGCCGGAGGTTTGAGTCTGTCACTCAAGACAATGGTGTGGGATTGGCTGTCCTTGGATTTCTCACAGATCCAACTAATTCCCCAGAAACACGTGGACAGCTTTTAATTTAAAACAGACGCACTGGATATGTTCCCAAAAATTCAGTCAAGATTGATTTATAAACTTGTGAACAATTAGCAAGCATGTGCGCCTGGCTCAGAGCAAATGTGGTTTGTCAAATACTATAGAAATGTTTTATTACTTCATATGCTTTACATAAAATTGCTTTAAATTTATATTAGTGATTGATTTTTTGTTTTTAAAAAGTTTAATATCCAGCAACACTTTAATGGTAGTAATGATCCGTTAGTTAATATGTTTACTATTAACAAACTATTAGTAATACATTTGTTACAGTATTTATTCATGTTTGTTAACGTTAGTTAATGATATTTAAGTTAAAGCGTTCATGTTAGGTCATGTTAGATCATGTTAACTGACAGTGCATTAGCTAATGTTAACAAGCACAACTTTGGATTTTAATAATGCACTAGTTAATGTTGATCCATGATTAATAATTTCTTTACAAGATTATTCATACATAAATACATTAACTAAAGGATCATTTATCCAATATGTCACCTTTTCAAGTGTACATTTAACAATAGTAAAATGTCATTTAATGGACACAATGAAGTAGAAAGTAATCATATATAGTCTTAGTCCTATTCATGTTTATTCTCATTTCAAATATTCTTATTCTCTAAAAAGTCTGTGTCACATGACTTTAATAGCCAAAAGTGTATACGTTTTATTGTTTTTTTGTTTTGTTTTGTTTTTTTGGCAAAATAATATTTTACTTTCAATAATAAAATGTTATGGTATTATACAGCCCATTTATGCAGCATAGGAAAAAAAATGTGACCAAACTTTAACCAACTAAATGGGGCGAGGCAGTGGCGCAGTCGGTAGTGCTGTCGCCTCACAGCAAGAAGGTCGCTGGTTCGCTGGTTCGAACCTCGGCTCAGTTGGCGTTTCTGTGTGGAGTTTGCATGTTCTCCCTGCTTTCGCGTGGGTTTCCTCGGGGTGCTCTGGTTTCCCCCTCAGTCCAAAGACATGCGGTACAGGTGAATTGGGTTAGCTAAATTGTCCGTAGTGTGTGAATTTATGTGTGGATGATTCCCAGAGATGAGTTGCGGCTGGAAGGGCATCCGCTGCATAAAAACTTGCTGGATAAGTTGGCGGTTCATTCCGCTGTTTCTAAGCCGACAAGAAAATGAATGAATGAATGAATGAATGAATAAGGCCTAAATGATTAGAAATCTCAAATTCAAAAAAAAAAAAAAGTTACAATACTGAGTCCAAATGACAAAAAAAATCTAAACGTTATAATCTCAAAAGTGTCATAATTTGTCAAAAAAAAAGTTGGAGTAAATGGAATGTAAAAGTTTTATTGACTTTTATTCACTTGTCAATGTCAGTAGCTAGAATATGATTCACTATAAACAATGCTGGGTTTTACACAATCCCTTCATGTCATGCCAAAGCAATTTGATTTAAGTTGGCTACAAGAGTTCACCCTTAGCTGATGATTGATAATAAATAGTGTTTGGCATGTTGTTTCAGGAGAGAGCCCTGAGCTCATTAGATCCTCGAGCCTGGGGCTCCTTCCCATTTGCAGGGAGAGAGGCGAGTTTGAGCTCATGTAGGTCTCGAGAATTCTCCTGGTTTAGTTAAGGCCAATGACAGATTATAGGGATTGTTATGGAGAGATTAACTGCTGACTAAGCACAGACTGAGAGCCCATCTATAGTGCCAATTTGTTTTAGTCAATTCACTTAGGTCGCATGTCTTTGGACTGTGAGAGGAAACCAGGAACCCGAGCGAAAACCATGCGAGCATGGGGAGAACATACAAACTTCACACAGAAATATTGACTTGCCTAGAAAGGACCTGAAGCACAGAACCGCCATGCCGCCTTATGTAGGAAAAGGGGAGAGGAGTAGGGGTGAAAGAGGGGATATATTATGATAACTAAAGTGTGAATCTCTGGCTATTTGTGTGTTAGGATTAATCTGATTGGTAAATCATGTGTTAACTAATGCGGGACCATTCATGATCAATCATAAGCATGTGATCATCTTGAAATTAGTTTATAAATAAACCACACTTAATGGTTTTTACAATTTTAAGCTGATTGAACATAAAACAATTATGTTGCCAGAAAAAAAAACTCAAAAGTTTTGTTCTGAATGATAAACAATACAAGTAACTTTCAACAATTTAAAACAAAAATGAAAAACATATTCATCACATATTCTGTAGGTATTGGCTATTCTCAAGTCTTTGTAATTATAAACTAAGCCTACAGTTTTCTACTCATTTTATATCTAGTCAAGTGACGTTATCCCACTCTAAACTTCACAACAAACTTGCGTTATTGTATGGAAACAGTCCTGCATATGTGAGTGCAGAAAACAGTGAGGGAAGTGCAGATGGAGGAGAGCTCTGGCGCCGGGCTGCATGATGTGGCCACAGCTCCAGATGTACTACAGATCCCATACACACACACACAATAGTCCCAAAACACTGGAGCCACAAACACCAGCCTCCCTCCACGTGACTGATGCATGTGAGCGGATGACTGAATTACTCCAGCAGAGGAGCATAAAAGCAGTGAAGAATGAGCTGATTTATGTTGCCAATTTGGTTCAAATACTGATGACCTGCCCTGATAAAGCCTTCCCTGTCTGAGAATACTAAATTGGAGGATATAGTAAAAAGTAATTATATATGTATTTTTGGACCCATGCTTTATAATAATAATAATTATTATTATAATAATAATTATTATTTTTTTATTTCTATTATTATTATTAATATTATTATTATTATTATTTTTATTATTATTACTTGAAAATTCAATAAAAAAAATGTAAAAAAAATGCTGGGTTCCACAGAATTCCTTTATGTTGTCCCAATACAAATAAAATTTTTAAATGACTAAAAAGTTATCAGTATTGATGGTAAAAAAAAAATAAATAATGTACATTTTTAGTCAAACCATTCTTTTGCCATTTCATAACAAAAACAGAAATAAGGCCAGTATTAATAGCTATAAATGTGGAACAGTTTTGATATTCTGTGATTGTATTATATTGCAATATAGAACAATTAAATGTTGATGTTAAATCAAAAGTAATTCACAAATAATTAAAAATGAGATCATTTAATGACAATACGTATCTATGGTTACAACTGAATTAATGACAAATAACTGTAAAAAAAAATGATAAAATATGGAATGATTAAAACATATGATATAAATTGTACCCAGCTTAAATGTAAAATTAAGGTTTCCAGAGGTAGAAGGAGAGACACACCTTCTTGAGTCAAAAAGACATGTTTTGTCATATAAACAAATGCATATGATAAATCGCATTTGTTTTTAAATATTTATAAACACCTTTCCCAGTTTAATTATATTCAAAATTAATTACACTGCCAAATTACACTGTAAAAATGCACTCATGATGTCCCAACACAAATTGATTAAGTTAACTTAACAATTTGATGTAGATTGAACAAATATAAAAATCCCAAAACAAATCTCAACAACTGGCTTTTTTAAACTAATTATATTAGTCAATATTAGAAAATGCATTAGTTAACATGAATTAACAGTGTGCAACACATCCATACCTGTCAACATTGGGATGTGAAAATAAGGGATTTGGCCACCATAAAATCGCTAATTACTAAAATTGCTAAATATGTTCATCTAACTTTTCATGCTCATTTATGACAAAATTAGTTGTGTTAAAAAAAACACCAATATCAACATTTTTAGATGTTATTAATATTGTCTGTTCAAACATGCACCCAAAACACAGACTTTCACTCCGCTTCAAATCTACAGAATCTGTTTGGGTTTGGAAACAGCGTCTATTTATTACTACGGAGAGCATCAGCTGACAGTCATGGATCCCTATATGACTGTTTTGAGGATTGCATAGAAGGGGCGAAGGCGCCTGTAATAAAAAGGAAAAGGAATTCTGCCATTTTTATATTTATTTCACAGTGTTATCATGCCCAAATAAAACAAAAGCACAGAACAGACTGACATTTAAGAGGAAGGGGTAGCCCCAGGTGGTTTCGCGGTATGGGTTGCGTATAGGAGGATTAGCTCTTTAATGATTATTGCCAACCTTTATTAAGATTGAAAATACGGGAAAATATGGGTAAATACCTTTACGCGATGGTAGCGAGATAGAACTGTAAAATACAGGAGAATCCTGGGAAAAGCTGGAGGGTAGACAGGTATGCACATCTGTTAAGCATTACCTAATCTATGTTAATGTTAACTAAACATATATTAATGTGTCAATACATTAGTTAACACGATTTAATGGTGCACTGCAAATTTTAGATTGTAGATTTAACTACCTTAGAGTTAAATTTAACACTTTCTCAGAGTTTATATGGGAACCACTGGAAAAGTGTTGAAATAACACTTTTGAAAGAGTTAACGTCATCAACACTCAGAAAGTGTTAATTACCAAACTCTTATAGTGTAAAATATTAACACCACAAAGGATTATCTGAACTCCAGTCAGTGTTATGTTTTAACACTCTTAGGTAAATTTTTCAACACTTTACCAGTGTTATTTTGATGGTGTTAACAAAGTCAACACTCTGAGAGTGTTAGTTTGCAAACTCTTATAGTGTAACATATTAACACCAAAAATGATCATATGAACACCACTCAGTGTTTTGTGTTAACACTCTTAGGTTAAATTTTCAACACTTCACCAGTGTTCATTTGACATATTTTACATTTGTATTTACATTATGCCCTGTCGTTAATTCTATAATTACAATGTATCATTTCAATTCACCACTCATGCAATAAATATGTGCTGCAATGAATACATTTTATTTTCTTTAACATGGTTTTACATTACACTTAAAACACTCTGTACAATGACCTTGTACATAAAATCTCCTGAAACAAAACTTAAAACATTATCTTGCAATCTACACAATGCAGCAGTCTGGTACAACATAAAACAAAGAGTCTGCACCATAAGCCATTTGTACATCAAAAGGCTTAAAGAATCTTAAGTCATGAGGCATAACAACTGAAACATTATGCATGTTTTCAGTAACTTCAAATGCATGTAAATGTTCCACAAATGAGGTCTCCATTTCTGTTACCAAAAAATAAGCTTCATTCCTCAGAAATATACAAACAATTTTGTTGAACACTGGCAATTCTTCAACAACACCTGTGCAAACAACAAGACCTGTGTGAAACTCAACGTCTTCATGTTTAATCCAACTAGTGATATTTACTTCACTTAACATATCAATCTGAAAATGTTCTGCAATCAAATGACCATTGTCAACATCAGTCAGTTTCTTTGACTTAACAGGCCCAGATTCAATCCCTTTTGTAAAGAGTGACTCCCAATGGTATGCGACAGCTATCTGGTGTTTCATCGCAAGGGACTTAGTTATGTTCTTGAAATTTTTCAAACTGGACTTAAAAAATTTGTGTTTTGCTTCATATCGCATACTCCAAACATGAACTAAAGGACCAATTTGGCGTATACACTCAGGGTAGTGAATCATGAAATGGTGTTTTGGTATCAAATTATTTTGGGGATACAATTCACTGAATAGCTGGTGATGCTCTCGAATAAGATGTTTTAGAAATACAATCATTCCATCTGTAATACTTGGGGAAAATATTATGTTTACTATGTGGATTAAAAGCAAAAGTAAATGCCAGTGTCTGTCACCTTCTGGGACCACATCACCGAAGATTAGTGGGAGGTTTCTACTAAGGCATAATGTTTGACTAGCGTTAAGTCCAATACTGTTGCCACTACTAGACAGGTTTATGCGTGTTGGACGGTTCTTTTTGTCCATGAAACCATAATTGAATGCATATACACGCTGGAGTATGTTTTCATTAGAAATGAAGTTCTGATTCAAATAACCAAACAACAACTTAATCTCATATTGTGCCACGCCCTCTAAGACATCGTGCATGATATCTAAAACAAAATTATCTGAAACACTGAAGTATGACAAAGAATTGAATATACTGTTGCGTTTCAAGCCAAAACATGACGTTTCCCTCGGATTCTCACGAAGATAATTGTAATGCTCCTCATTTGTCAATCTGCTGCGCAAAACCATACGTGGATCATTTTCACTAAACATTGTTTGAGCCAATCCTTTGCCAGCAAGACACATTCTGCAAAAGTAGTTTCCAGAGAAAGATTCCACATAACCAAGGATTGAGTTCAGACCTAAATTGTCCCCTGTTACTTGAGCAATTGTACCATAAAGAGGTTGTTCAGTAAATGACACTTTCATTCCATGTTGTTCTAGCACTTTTACATCTTCAACAAATGGACAAAGAATTTTGTCAATGCCATATTTTTTGGAATCTTGGGAATGAAACAAAGAGATGAGGTGAATGTTCACCAAAGACGAATTTAAACGTGGTGGTAAATTTCGGACTGTAAAATATAAACATCCAAGCTTGTGAACCCCATGTTTTGACCCAAGAGGGTTTGCGGTTTCAAAGTCATCATAATAAACTTGAATTTGCAAAGCATTTTGTGACTTAGAATACAGTGCGTGATGCTTGTAGTATTTTCCATCACAGAAGTCTTGGTATAAGTTACAATCTGTTGCAGAAGGTTTATTAATATGACTACATACTTCTGGATTTTTGAAAATAAATTCTAGCGTTTTTAACAGGGGTACATAAATGAAAGTGTCATTTACTGGAACCTGTTCATATACTCCAGATTTTTTGTTTCTTTTTGAATCAAATCTCACTCCTAAATGAATCTCAATTGGCTCAACAACACCCCATTTTTCACTGAAGTATTTTGTCATTTTGGAATTTGTGTTTAAGTCACTAAATGGATTGAAAGCATTGCTAAAGACATCTTTTACTGCACTTCTTATTTGATTTTCAGCAGGTAAAGCACTGAGCACTTGTTCTTCAAGATTTGCATGAATTTCATCAACATACTCCTCCATACTTTCAACAACAGATAACACTACACTGTTCGCAACGCCACTGCCCTTTAACTTTGCAATAATTGACGCGCACATATCTTTTGCTTGGTCTTTTGACATAAGAGATGTTGATGGTTCGTTGATTGCATCTTGGTCCATTACAAAGGAGTTGTGTTGTGAGCTCTGTTCACCAAAGTCTGACTGATGTGGTACTTGCATAACATCACTGCTTGCATCAAGATCTGTAGTATAATGACAAGTATTTAAATGCATTTTAAAACCCTTAAAACTTTTAAACTGCCTTGAGCATCCTTCTTGTGCACAAACAAAAACAAACTTTTTGCCAGGATATAACCCATGAAAAAACTTAAGGTGCTGAATTAATGAACTGGGTGCATCATGCAATGTTCTGCAAATGTGGCACTTTAACATAGTCTTTTAGTTTCTGTTCATGAACTTTGCTCGTAACTCCTTCACCTTTGGACTTTCTTTAGTGGTGTCAACATCTACACCGTAGACTGTTGTCTGGAGGAATGTGTACATGTTGCTGAGTGCATCATCATAGCTTACACTGAAAAAGAAGTGTGCTTTAAACAGTTCATCAATGGCTGCCAACGAGGTGGTTCCCTGGCATGGGATGATCATCTTGTCCATTGCAATAAAGTAATTGCTGATGGCGCTCTTGTGCATTCCTGAAGCAAGGAGGTATGGTTGGCGATGTCCCTCCTGTTTTGCGAAGTGTTCTTCAAAACTGTTGTTTGACTGGAGGAAAAAATAGATCATCATGATAATCTTAGATTATGCACTAAATTAATTAAGCTTATCTTGCCCAGTTAATCACAAACTGTAGCTCTGCACAAACCTTGTGAAACACAACTAGATGTTCCATGGCCTGAGCTGCACTGATCTTCTGTTTTTTCTTTTTAGAAGGCTGAGGTGGTAGAAGGTGCAGGAGCAGCAAAAAAGATGCCATATCACTGTCCCACTCTGTACGAAACAATAGAACAATTTATTATTTTCCCTTATTAGCTGTTTTTCATAAATTCACATTAGAGCTCTCTGTTAGATATTAAATTTTTCTTTGACATACCTCGATGATCCTCGGAAGACTCATCATTGTACAGATTCCTGGCTGAATTCAGCAAGCTTTGGAGCACTGAGGTGGTAGTAAGTCTCTCTGCTTCTCTGATCACTTTTTCCTTAAAGAAGGTAGGCCACTTCTCAAGCAGTTTGGCAGCTGTTTCTGCACCAAATAGGAGGCTAAAATCTTGATCTATCTGCAGGAACAGAACAACAAAAAAGTATTACTGACCATCTCATGCTTTACAGATATGAATTGTAGTTCACGGAAATCATTTCATCACTTACCAGCCCTTTCGTGTCCAACAGCCTTGGAAACACTGTGAGGATGTTGTGCGACTCGTCAGGATTGTAGATAAGGCGCTGTCTATAGCAGAAGGTCTCCTTCATCTTTTGCAGGACAGTTTCTCGGTCAGTGGTGTGGTTCATTAAGGAAATTAACTCTTTACAACGTTCTTCATCCAACTGATCAGCAGCCGAAGGCAGCTCCCTTTCCTGGGTTGGACCACCTGCTCCTGCATTCTGTATTTTAAACTCTCTGAACTCAATTTTAGTCTTTCGTTGAATTGTCTTTAACCTCCACGCAAGAAATCCAGAGCCACTTTGGCCATCATAAAAATGTTCCTAATCAAAAACAGAGACATAAGTTGGTTTAACTTTATTATAAGCAAATAGAAGGAATCCCACAGTCATAACTTTTTCATAGTATAAATATTATGTAGAATAATATTTTATTAAAATGTTTCAAATTAATGTTGCTACTGTTGTCTTTTTCAGTAGTTAATCCACACTAACATAATTTAACAAATACAACACACGCACGTGCACTAATTATTGTGACAGTCCTTAAAAGTGTCAAGCAAATTCATTACCTTTTCTTAATGATAAATACATTTTAAATCAATATGTTAAAATAAATACATAACTTACATATCCTTTTGTTGAAAAGGGATCTTTTAATGCAGGGAACAAGGTGACAATTCCCAATGCATATTTTTCTTTAGTACTCCGCTGAGGGATTCTCCTGCAAAAATAAATAAAAATTGATTTTAATACTTGCGCAATATGAAAAAGTACACGAAAAAAACTTAAGAGAAAAAAAGCTTTATAGCAATTAACTGCCTAATATTAATACAACAAACTTACCCTTCCATTTCAACCATGTAGGCAGCAAGAATGTTAACCATTTGCCTTCTTGTACTGTCACACAATGTCCCAGTTTCGTCATATTCTTCCAACACTTTTGTCCCTCCTGATTTTGTTTGGAGGATCTGCTTTATAAGCTAAAATGTAAATTAGACTGTTAATTGTTTTATTAAGCCAACAAGAGTAATGCTTGTTGGGAAAATCATCATATCACGATAATTTATTTCATATCAGTCTATATCGATAATTATCACGATAAATGTCAAATCTTATATATATTAATTAAAGATTTTCAGAATGCCAACCGCTTAGTGCAGCTGATTTAAGACATTTTGTAAAATTATATATATATATATATATATATATATATATATATATATATATATATATATTTTTTTTTTTTTTTTTTTTTTTTTTTTTCAGGGTTTTTTTCTTGTAAGGCACGGCTTTCAAAAATGATGAAACTCTGCTGGGTAGTTGAGCTGGCTTACCAACACTTGTTTGGGTCTGTAATGTTATTAGCATCTTCATTTTTTTACCTTATTTTTTTCTTACCCCTCCAAGTGCAACTAATACTGTATGGCTGTAAGCTTGTACTGCGTGTGGCATCTGGAAATGCAGGCTGCAAAATGCCTGCGCAGCCTTACGCATACTGCATAAATATTATCGAACACTTGTTTTATCGAAAAAAATACATATTGTGATAATTATCGATACCGAATTATCGCCCTGCCCTATATAGTTTTTTGTTTTACACTTAGTACCCATTGCACACTTCAGACGATAAACTTACATCTTTGGCCAAAGCACTCTGTAATGGCTCTTCATCAATTTTCATTCGTTTGGGTTGTCTTGACAAGTCACTGTCACTGCCACTACTCAAAACAGAGAGGGAACTCTCACTGTATGACAGCGGTGCAGATGGAGTTGATGACCGAGATGTGTCTGAATAAAACAAAACATATAAAAAGCAATTACCCTTATTTGCAGTATACTTATGGATATATCAGATATCAAATATCAGTAATAATTTATTGAAAATTTTATTAGTAAAATTATCCAATATTAATAATGACAAATACATGTGTTACCATATTTGTAATCTTGGTAACTTGTTACTCTGGTAATCTTTTTATAATAAAGACTAAATAAAGAATATTTTAATTATTAACATTTATTTTAATTTACATATTAACCAATGCCAACTAATGAGACCTTTTCTTCAAAACAGAGTAAAAGTCTTTACACACTAGTGAGGAATTGCTGGCAGTTTTTTTTTTTTTAGCATTTGGTTAACTATGCAACTAAAATGGACGTAAGATGAATACAGAGTGAATTAAATTATCTAAAATGACCACTACTATTTATTTTTTACCGTGATCCAAACCGTCCTTCACAACAAAGCAAATCCCTGCCACTGCAGACAATTCTGCAAACACAGTTTCATCCACCTCCGTGCCAGAGTCATCTTCCACTGTAATGTTGCTAGCAGGAATGGAGAACTTTTCTCTCACTAAATGATGATAAAGAGAAACATGTTACATTTTTTTAAATTACCAAATTACCTCCACCTAGTACGGAACCCCGGAAGGGACGTAGTGGAGGAGAAATAAAATTGGCTGGGTGAAAAAAAAAAAAAAAATGGGTGAAAGAAAAAAATGGGTAGGAGGAAAATATATATTTTTTAAGTTTTTGCGTTCTCTCACAAAGTTTTGTGTTCCCACGCAAAAATGTTTTGCGTTATCTCGCAAACTGTTTCTCCACATACACTTTCTGTGCACTTCAATCATGTAAACCCTCCCGATTTGCTGAAATTCTCCTGTATTTTACCATTCTATCCCACTTTCTCTACATTAATACGTGCGTCGATCGTCACCTTTTATATGCAACCTCTGAATCAGCAAATGCCAGACCAGCTTCTGTACACGCCATTTACAGAGGAGCGGGTGTATGTTTAAACAGACAAATACACTGAATAATATGTAAACATCTCCGTCCTACATGTTTTATTTTAAACAGCAAATTTTTTCTTAAATGAGCACAAACAGATTGTAAAGTAATGGACTGCTTTCATTATAGATCTGTGCATTCTTACAGTGACACCTCTGTTATCAAACAAAACAAAACATGAGATTCATTAGCTGCTCACTTGTTTGATAACAGAAGTGTCCCTTTAAATGGCACGTACAGACGCTGATCTGGAATCAGTTTATTGTACAGAGCGCGTCTGTCAGTCAGCGCTTATACATGCATTCACTGGTTCAGAGGTTGCATATATATTGCATATTAAAGAAAGTGGAATAGAATGGTAAAATATGGGAGAATTTCGGCAAAAAACGGGAGGGTTTACGTGAGTGAAGTGAACAGGAAGTGTTTGTGGAGAAACATTTTTGCGAGATAATGCAAAAACTTAATATATATATATATATTAAATAAATATAAATATATATTTATAATATAAATATATATTTTCCTCCCACCCATTTTTTTTCTTCTTTCACCCATTTTTTTTTTTTTTTTTTTTAACCAGCCAATTTTTTCTCCTCCACTATGTCCCTTCCGGGGTTCCGTAACCTAGTACATGTTATTACTTACTCAAATTGTTATTGGGAATTTTACCTTGAGAAATGAATTCATCAAAATCAGCAGCCTGTAATTTGATGTATTTCTTGCGATTTTCATACTGCACCTTAATTATCATTTTTGTATCAACAACATGCGTCTACAGAGGAAAAAAAAGGGACATACAGTACAATTTTTATTAGATATCTAAATGATAAATACCTAATTTAATTTACAAAATAACATTCAGAAAGATTATATTATGCTTTCTTATGCTTTGCCATAAAAAAGTACCTTCTGAAACTGAAGTTGTTGTGTATTCAATCGTTCTTTTAAGGCTTGAAAGGCTTCTAACTGTACATACTGCCTTTCACACTTGTCATGATGACGGCAATATCGTTCTACCCTGTTTAACAAACGCACTAAAGCAAAAATAAACTTGTCACCTTCGCTAAACTGACAATTCGACAAGCTTGACAAAAGAGTAATAAAAAATAACTGGTCAACTGTAAATTGCTTTTTATTAACTGTTATATTTGTACCTTTTAGGTGCCCCAATATCCTATGAACTTAAGACAACACGTTTAATAAATTATAGATAGTTAAACATACAACTAGTCTTCGTAAACTTTCTAGCATGACTTCTGAAAGCAATTAGCTTATCTGCAAATGGCATTTTCTATCAACATTGGCAGAATTCATAACTCTCGAGTCTAAATTTATAACTTCACATGTAACTCCCACTTACCCGAAGGAGAAATATCTGAACGTTGAGCCTCAAGAAGCTGTTGATTCCTATAAAAAAGATGTAACTTTACGTTAGTTAACGAAGCTAAATTAACGTACACACGCAAGCACGCACACACACTCACACAAAGACATGCTACGAGTAACGTTCGTTCTAAATTTGATAAATTATGATCATTAACTAAAACTTTCTGTCGTGAATTTAGTCAGAATAATCGCCTCACGCAGAAATAGCACGTGAACCTCACCACCACTCCTGCTCGCGATGGAAGAAAATGGCGAATGGCAGGTGTTAAATTATCTAGAAAGGGCACTTGTTAGTGCTATACAACGGGCGTTTTTTCTTTTGATGTTGAATCAAGCAAGCAAAAAAAGCACGACGTATGGCTGTGTTACATAAATAAACGAAGCAGCTCCCTCACACGCGTGGACCTTTCTTTTGCTGTTACCAGCAAAAGTGTGTGAAAAGTGCCCGGGTATGGCGTGAGGGAGCTGGAGGTAACGTTAGTTTTCCGAACCGCGCGGGCCCGCGCACGGGAATAAAAATATAACGTTATCTTGTTAAACATCAGTAAAACTTTATTAACTATTGCGTTAATGTTTAAGGAAAGCAATTCAAATCAGTCACAAACCGTATTTTCACGTATTTTAACCAAGAGGAGCGGTTAAGACAGCTTTAGTTTCTTTAATGTAACATAGATAGTACAGAACTAAATAAATGATGGAAAATTACATATGATATTTAAAACTAACGTATATATAACAATTTTTATGTCAAATGTCTATGTATAAACATTTTAAGTACTTTTACTCACCAGTTGCTGCTTCTCATTGCTCCTCGTGGCAGAAGAAAATGGCGTATGGAAAAATCCCTCAGGGATATTGCTGCATAAATTCCCGGATGTAGTAGTCAATACTATATTAGCGTTAGATACATGTAACTCTGTGCGACAAGGAGGCAAATCAGCTTCCAACACTGAGAGGGTTATTTTATCTTTATCTAACTCTAGAATTATAACACTTTACTCTGAATTACCTCAACACTCAAAATTTAACACTAATGAATTTGCTGTGTGAACAACAACTTCATTCAGCATTACGTCATCTTCGTTAATGTTAACATATTCTAATGAATCTTTTTATATTAACATGTTTACATACATATAATGGATTCGATCATGGATTTGATAACATGACCTAACATGCAAGATATATTACCATGTTAGTTAAATGCATTAGTTAATACACTGGTTTCAGAATTTGACTCTGTATGTAATAAATTATTTCCCAGTACTGGGTTGCGGCTGGAAGGGCATCCGCTCTAAAACATTTGCTGGAATAGTTGGTGGTTCATTCCACTATGGCGACCCCTTATAAATAAGTGACTAAGCTGAATATAAAGGAATGAATGAATGTAACAAATTATATAATAATATACTGTAATATAACTCTAAATATTGCAAAACTGTGTACATATAATTAACTGCAGTTTCCCAGTGCGCTTTTAAAAAGTTTTGATTACAGTGAGAATGATCCACGTTTATGCTCTGATCTTTGAGAACAACTAAAGCCTAGTTCACACTACAGGATTTTAAACATCAGCAGATTGCTGTGCCGTTCACACTACATGACCTGACTTTGTGTCTTTTAATCTCTGTGGTGTTCACACTAGGCAACAATGATCCACAAGAGGGGGGTCACACACTACATGATCTGACAACAACTCATTCCCCATCAGTTCATTCAAGCTACCAAACCACAGCCAATGAAATTTTGAGGGAGGAGTTGTCAGAAAAAGCTGAACACTATTGGCTGCTTGTGTGCTGATTACATCACTGACAGCATTTCAAGCTTTGGAGAAAGCATTTAAAAACATCGTCAAATCAGCTGATGTATCAGCGGATAAATCACTCATCTGCAAGGTTCCAGTGGATAGATATACAGAGAGTTTTTAATTTTTGTAATTTTATAACTCTTTGAAATAAAACTAACATATTTATAACACCCTGCCGTTTTCTAACTATCAGTGTATTTCTTTCTGACATTGTTATTTTTTTTATTACAAAACAGTAAAGAACTGAGCATTTCTGCCTTAAATTACCATATTGGTCAAAATGACTGCATGCATGTCTGATACTGCAATACATGTCTAAATTTTCACTGTGACTTTAAATATGTGTGCATTTTCTTGCCTAGCAACTTCCTGCTAACATAAATAAAACTTTCTGATGGCAAAAACATCAATTTACTTCAGATATCTTTCAAAACAGCATATTCTGTGCTGTGAAATAGCTCCTGTTTGAAAGTGAAAATGAAAGCAGAGACCTTTAAGTGTTTTAGAATCTTAACTACATATTTACAGGCTGTATTACAAAAAAAAGATTATATTTTTAGGGTAATGGTGTCATTAAATATGATGCCAGACATTCAAAGCTTAATTTTAATATCTCAATAATAGCTTTGAATGTAAATATGTTGTGACAATATGGCGTTTTATATAAGAACCGTCAGAATGAGCAGTATGGTAATTCTAATAATTACAGAATTCTAGTTCCACTGTTAATATATCCTCCTCTCATGTCTGTGCTAACGCAGAATGAAGCCAGTGCACCGATGCCCATTCTGACCAATCACAGATGTTTCTGCTGAGCTCCTGAACACAGGCACGCGGCTCATGCTGATATGCTCTCTCATTGGCTGCAGCTCGTCACTACATCTGACCACACGTGGGGTTGAGTCGGCCGACTGCTCTGAAATATTTAGCAAGCTGAATGTTGGATTTCCGTCTGCGAGGTGTCGGCGACGCGTCAGCGAGCCTCGTTGATGCATTGCTCAGTAGTTCACACATAAAGAGCGGCGAGCGCCGTGCACCCGCAGATTTCTTCCCGATCACAGCCCGATCTGTCGGCCAGCTCGTTTACTTCCAAATCGGGCTCAAATCAGGCTTAAAATCCTTTAGTGTGAACTAGGCATAAAACACGTTATTCTGCATGCCAGGCCAGTGATTACCAGTCGCTATGTAAAGAAACACAATAACTTTACACAAGTATTGTCCTATTGTCCTGCATTGTTGTTTTAGTAACTCACACATGCCTACAAACTAAATACGTAATACACTACCTGAGAGAAATCTTGTCGTCGATCCCAGTTGTAAGAGCAACAAATAATAACTTGACCTCTAGTTGATCATTTGGAAAAGTGGCAGAACGTAGATTTTTAGGATGAATCATCTGTTGAACTGCATCACAATCATCACAAATACTGCAGGAGACCTATTAGAACCCACATAGACCCAATATTCTCACAGAAATTAGTCAAGTTTGGTAAAGGAAAACTCATGGATTGGGGTTACATTCAGTATGGGGGTGTGCGAGAGATCTGCAGAGTGGATAGCAACATCAACAGCCTGAGGTATCAAGACATTTGTGCTGCCCATTACATTATAAACCACAGGAGAGGGCAATTTTTTCAGCAGGATAGCGCTCCCTCTCATACTTCAGCCTCAACATCAAAGTTACTGAAAGCAAAAGGATGCGCCAGGATTGGTCAGCCCAGTCACCAAACATAACATTTTTGAGAATGTCTGGGGTAAGATGAAGGAGGAGGAACTGAAGATGAATTCAAAGAATCTCGATGAACTCCTGAGAATGCTTTCTTTGCCATTCATGATGACTTTATTGATAAGTTTTTTGAGTGATTGCAAGACTTTTGTCAGGTAGTGTACACATAAACTAGGGCTGCATGATATTGGAAAAATCTGACATTGCGATAATTTTTCTGCGATATGAATATTGTTTCAGCAGATGGCTTGAATAACTGTTTTGGATGAAATCATTCATTTAGATTGACTGGAATCATTTTGTAGCCGAGTGAATCAAACAAATTGCAAGCTTAAATAAGGTGGAGCAAAGATAAAAGTGTAATAACCAGTGCTTTATGGTTTTCTGGAGAATCAAACAGTAGTCAAATATTCAGGTACATTAACTGAATAATCAAATGTAATGTAAAATAACACTGCACAGTCCTCATTGCTGATAAACTACTGTATAATCCCAACTCAACATAGCAGATACTGCGATGTGACTATTGCGAATGAACACATTGCAATATTGATGCTGAAAAGATATATTGTGCTGATCTAACATGAAAAAAATCTCTTCTTTTGTCATTTACATGGAGAGGATAACAGCTGAGCCACATAAAACCATCAAAGAATGAACAGATAAACTACATCCTATGAGTTGAAACTGTGATGGCCTGTCCTGATAAGAGCTCCTCTATCAGTGAATTTGACACGCCGCCTGCGGATTGGATTAATAGGAGGTCTGCCTTTACAACCTTAATTTTGCTGCCTAATTATAGGCCGGCGCTGCTGATTTAGGTGTAATTATGAGTGTGGGGAAGCCCGTTTTCTTCCGCCCGGCCCCCCCATTCACTGTTGTCACAGGCAACGGATTAATGCAATTAAAATCCATTGTTTCAAATCACGCACCCTATTCAATTACTCATGCCCAACTGGCAGCTTTTGTCTGGCAGCTCCAGGCGTGAGTGTGCCTGACATTTAGATCCACCATCATTTCACATTAGGCCATGATTATTACTTATTAATTCATTACAGACTCTTTCATTTACATACCCAGCAATATACAGGTGCTATATGAAAAATCTGTTTACTGAAATTGTGCTGGTTTATATGAAACCCATTACCTGACAATGTAAACAAACCACATTTACAAAACAATATAGAGGGTTTGCACTTATGTCAAGATTTGGTCTTTGGAGTCGATGGTGCTCAGATGTAAACAGCAGAATGGTTTGTATGGTTAATCTACCAAATGTATTGTTCTGCCTGTTTATGCTGTCTAAACCAAGTGAAAAAAAAAAAAAAACATGTGGAGCCTGCTTAATAATACAGAAGGACTTGGTATTCAGGAAAAAGGTCAAAATTTTGACAAACTGAATTTAATATGTAGTAAAATATACACTCAATTAATTAATTTTGCTGCTTGTTTAAACTGAACTAGCTGCTTGTTTTAAAATTAGTTGTAACAACACAATTCTTAAGGTTCTTTGAGGCAACTTAATTATTTTATGTTCAATCCACTCAAATTTGTCAAACCAGGATTATTACGAATACGTACCCAGGTTTATATTTTTGGGGACAGCGAAATACACAATTGCAGGTATATCTGCCTGCAGTTTTTGTTTTTGCAAATCCACCAGAGGCCGCTGTGTGCACTTTTTGATAATATCAAATTTCTTTTGCGTGTCCTCTTCACGCAAAAATCCACCAGAGGGCGCAGTATACACTTCAGCTGACCAGGCCAGCTTGCTGTTGACTGACTGACTCAGACTGACCAACTGACCCACCTGCCCCCACTAACCCTTATCCCTAAACCCAACCGATAGTGTTTTCAAAAGCATTCCTGAAAAAGAAGTGAAATTTCTGCCATAAAACTTAATCTGCTCCTGTGTCACTAACTATATGGTGCAGAAGATTGGTTGCTGCCACCTCGGCAGCCAATGAGCTTGCTCCTTATCAGTTTTGTTTTACGCTGTTAAGGCTCCTACACACCGCAACGTTTTTAGTTTGCGTTTATTGTCCACGTTTTACAAGACGTTTTTCAGTGTTCAAACCCAAGCGCTTTTCACTGGCGTCAAGCTGAAGAGTATGCTAAATCACTCTTTTGACGCTAGATGGCGCTGCACAACTATACGCTTCTAACACCCGGTTATAACACAGAAGAAGAGGAGGAAAGGTAGTTCGCACGTTTGTTTATAAAGTTACTGGTGACTCAAACAAGCATAGATGGTTCAAGCAGCAGCTCCAGCTGTAGCGATGAAGAAATAATTAGTGTTCACAGAGCAATAAGCAGCTCCACATTCATATCGCCTCTGGGCATCTTCTTCAATGCGCTCACATTGACGCCCCGCGTCAAAACAAAAAAACGAGCATGAGGCGTTTTTTTTAAATGACGCTTTTGTGCCTGGCGTTTTGCGCGTTGGTGTGCACAAACACATTGACGCCCTTTATTTAGTTACAAGGCGATAAACGTCGACAGAAAACGCAAGCAAAAAACGTTTCGGTGTGCATGGGCATTTATGCTGCAGCGTGTTCCTTGTTAAGAGTTTAATCTTCTTTTAGTTAAGGGTTTTGCTTAAATTGAGTTTCATGTTTTGAGGTTACTGCCTTGCAAAAGAGTACCAGTCATGCTTTGGGTGTTTAATTTACAAGCATGTATAATCATGATAAAGCATAGAACAATAATAGTGAGATTAAGGTCTGAAGATGTCAGTAATGCACTGATAATGCCACTAAAGTAGCAATACTCAACATTTCTTAATTTGTACTTACTTCGAGTATGACGTTAGCTGGATGAAGATTTGTTTGCTGGAGGGTTTGCTTGACGTTGAGTAATCCACACAGACCAGGGTTTATGTTTGATTGGAGATGCGCTGTATAATTGTGGGCCATCATGTAATCTTGGTTGTCGTTGTCTCTGAGCGTGGGAGCAGCCGGAGGACTGAAATGACAGGCAGACAAATGCAGTCAGAGTTTGTTTAATCAGACGCGACTGTGCCGTCTGCTATCATCCATCTGAACCGTGACACAACCACATAGCTGTACATTTCAACATTGGCTGTGTGGATTGACAACATATGGAAGTGAAACAGGGGTGGGACAAAGTGTGCACAAATTAATCACGTAAGGTTTATTTTAATTAGCTTTTTATTACTTTTATTTTATTACCGTGATTTTTATTGTCATTAATGTTGGCACAATAAGGCAGAACAAGGAACCGCTTCATAATGCTCACTTACAGTTGACAGAAAACAAGACTCAGCAAAGCATATGTGAAACTGGGATGTATATATAGTCCATGTAATAGTTAATAATGAGCTTCAGCTGTGTGTGCATAAGTGTCCAGATTACTGTCAGCTGTGGCTGGAGTTGATGAGTGCAAAGACTTTTGGGAGTTGTGGTTCATTTCAGTGGCATATGTGTAGTAAGTGAATATTTAATGTTTTCCAGTGATTTATAAAGGTTAGATCGCTGGTGATTGTAATAATTATACTTTGCCTTTTTTGGCATAGAAGATTCAACATAGTACTTACCTTTCTTTAGTTTTGTCTAGGATGGTTTGGTTTTCCTCAAATGACAACAACAACAAGAAACAAACTAAATTTATATATATATATATATATATATATATATATATATATATATATATATATATATATATATATATATATATATACACACACACACACACATATACTCACTTTATTAGGTACACCTTACTAGTACCTCCTTTTGCCTTCAGAACTGCCTTAATCCTTCGTGTCATGGATTTAACAAACTAGAAATACTCCTCAGAGATTTTGGTCCACATTGACAGGATTTGTCAGCTGTACATCCATGATGTAAATCTCCAATTCCACCACTTCACAAAGGTGCTCTACTTGATTGAGATCTGGTGACTGTGAAGGCCATTTCAGAACAGTAAACCCATTGTCATGTTCAAGAAACTAGTTAGAGATAATTCACGCTTTATGACGGCACGTTATCCTTCTGGAAGTAGCCATCAGAAGATGAGTACACTGTGGTCATAAAAGAATGGACATGGCCAGCAACAATACTCAGGTAGGCTGTGGCGTTGACACAATGCTCAATTGGAACTAATGGGTTTCAAAGTGTGTCAAGAAAATATCCCCCACACCATTACACCACCATGTAAGGGACCGAGGGTCAAAGGAAACAGAACACAAGCCAAAAATTCTCCATTTGACATTTATTCTTAACAAATAGGACATAAGTCCTCAAATTAAGATAATTAAACAAAAAAGAAAATAAAAGGACCATGAGGCCAACATAATAAACCAACACGAAAAGACCTAACACAATGAAGAACAGCCAGGCTTATAAAGAAAGGGATGAGCTCATTTAAATTACAAAGGGGTAAAGACAAAAAATCACATTACTACATACAACACATAAACAAAATAAACGCAATAACATTATCACAAAAATAATAACATTAACCATTAACCAAAATAAACAAATTAACAAAAGCAATACATAAATATTTGATTAACGAGGATATCTAAAATAACTTATCCCCCTACATCTTCCAGCGGTTGGTTCGCCCAGGCGGAACCATTTTTGGATAAATTCGGCGTTCCCGCCTGGACTCCAATCTTTGCCGCACCGGAAGCCACCCGGCCGCCACTTCCTGTCTCCAGCTTACAACTCGGTAACTTAAAAAAAAAAAAACAACAACTATTATACAACTTAACTAATTTGTGTGCACTCCAAATTAATTAAGTAGTAACAAAAATTTATGGTTTCTTTAAATAAAGTATAAGAAAGAAACTATCGTGTATTGTGATTTGTATAATGATACGGAGAAAGAAACTATAAAATGAAATGTCATGTCTGCATAGTTGTGAATATGTTTGCATGGTTGCGTGTGTGTATGTATGCGTGGTTGTGTGTGTGTGTGTGTGTGTGTGTGTGTGTGTGTGTGTGTGTGTGTGTGTGTGTGTGTGTGTGTGTGTGTGTGTGTGTGTGTGTGTGTGTGTGTGTAAATATACGCACGCTGTTACACAGAACTGTGCGGCCAACCTTTCAGGCCGTCACCAGGGCCGCGCGTCCATAGAGGCAACCTAGGCGGAAAACTGAGGAAATGGTGATGCGCACCTCTCAATCAATATTGGTGGGCGGGGGCACCGAACTCCTACGTCAAGTTGCGGTCGTTCTCAAAACCGCTCCAATTGGTCTACAGTTTTTATGTTGTTAAATGAAAAAAAAAAAAAAAAGGACCGAGTGCGTTTATATCACCCCAATATGACGGTCTATACTATATACCTACACACAAGTTTGTCCAAACAGCTTGAAAAGTAGATTTTTAACCATAGGTACCCTTTAAATTCTTCAGCTGATACAGATAACTGCCTATTCCAAGTAATAATAGCCATTGCAAATTCAAATTTGAAAGAAATGCAAGTAAAAACATGTTCTCTTCATTTTAAAAAACCTGTTTCAGAGTAACTGGTCTTAGTCATAAACAGAAATATACTACTCAAAAGAAAATATAGAAGACTTTTGACATTCTGTGCAAGATCCACCCGCAAATATAGTCATGTCTGGGAGTGTCTGGTGGTCTTCCTCAAGAAACACAGTAAAAGCTGTGCTAAGATGAAGAGAAACTGCAAGCGGGAAGTTGGCGGTCAGTCAACAAAGGCCTTGTAAAAGGCATTGTTCTTCATCAGCATGGCTGTCTAACCACAGCAGCCCAGACAGCAGAAAGAGAGTCTGTCAACAAGCACAGCACAGCAGCCACGTGATATCACACACCAGAGACCATTTCTAACAAGAGTGAGGAGTAGTCTGTCATGCAGCCACACTTCAATCAAATTTGTAAACCCAGCCCATATTCCACTCTAGGAAGTGGATCATATCAGATGTTACCACCTCTTATACTACAGGGCTGTTGAACACTTGACTCTGATTGGCTGAAGACATACAATTATTTTGGGATTAATGCATGGCTAAAGTAGTTCCAGGCATGTCTTGCACATATTACAGTTCCATATCACTACGCCAAATGATTTTAGTTATATTATTTCACTGCCAAAAATCGAATTAAAACAAAACTTTTACTTTGGATGGGATGAGTAAGAAAACTAGTCAGGCACACAGCAGTGCTTTGAGGACAAAAACCTGACAAATGTCCTAAAATAAAATATTTCAACTATTTTACCAACTATTTATGTACAGTTGAAGTCAGAATTATAAGCCCCCTGTTTATTTTCCCCCAATTTCTGTTTAACAGGGAGAAGATTTTTTTCAACACATTTCTAAACAAATAGTTTGTTCTGTGGACAATAGAAAACAAATCAAACGGGCCTAATAATTCTGACTTCAACTGTACAGTATGTGTTGACTATAGTATAAGCATATTTGACACCAGTCCTTTAAACTATTAGAAAATAATAAAATATTTCAACAGTATATTTATGTATGTGTTAACTATAGTATAAACTGAATATTTGACTCCGGTCCTTCAAACTATTAGAAAATAATACACATGAATAATACACGGTAAAATTTTTATTCGACAACACTAAAGCAACCTAAATTTATTAACTTAACTTTTAAAATAAATAAATAAATAAATGAAATTTGTTTGTTTTTTGTGGGGTTAAAATACCCCTTTTACGATAATATTAGCAGGTTCCAAAACAAATACAATGTATGTAAATAATAGATAATAATAAAAATAATTAATAATATAATATATTTTCCTTTTTACAAAAAAGAGAGCTGCGCTTTGAACTGAACATGAAAATGTATGACATCAAACCCTCTCTTTTTATTATTTTTTATTTTTATTTGTATATAGTCTTGCTTGTTATTAACAATGAATCTGTTCACATATTATTCAACCCAGGCTAATTCTGAAAATGTACCACTAAATACATTTCTGGAGAGCGCCAAATACACCCAGGAGCTACAAATATTTTTTTTTTTTTTTTTTGCAGTTTTTGTTGTCTCTAATCCACCAGAGGCTGCTGTGTATGTTTTTTGAGATCTCAGATTTCTCTCACAAGTGCCATTTGGCCTGCTGTTCTCATGTAAATCCATCAGAGGGTGCTGTCAACAGACTGACTGAATGACTGACTGACTGACTGATCGACTGACCCACCCTCCTTCTTCCCTAAACCCAACCAATAGTGTTTTCAAAAGCCACGCCCTTCCCTAAACCTATCCAACTATTTTGAAAAGCAATCCAAAAAAAAAAAAAAGCCCTCGCCTGAATTTTACCATGCTAACTGAAAAAACTGGTAACAGCTGGCAAGCCGTCCACATGTAGGTAAGTGGTCAGCTGTAAGCAAGAAAAGGAACTGCATCATATCGCCTAATGCGTTCATTTTAAAAACGAAATGCTGCCATACGTACTTCTGGCTACATACTTTGCGATCTCCAGAAATGTATATAGGGCTACGTTTTCATAATAAGCCTGTGTTGTCTTTATTTTGTCAATTTTTGCCGTTATAATCTTTAATCAAATCCCATAACCTTCCCTCCTCCTAGAAATGACTTTTCTTCTTGTCTGGTCACATGGAATGCCTTTAGGGCAGGCTATCAGTGCGGGTCTCGTTTCTGCTCTGCTTTCATTTATTCCTCAATCTTCCTTTATTTAGTTAGCAATGTCAAACTTCCAACTATCCAATCGGTACAAAATACACCACCCTACTTTTTGTTTTCTAATTTCGGGGCCATTTCAATTGGATATTGGTCACAGTATGGGGAAAAAAGGATAATCTTAAATAATCTTAAATAATCTTATTGAAATCAATAACATGTAATTATATTTCCTTTTAAAACAGACACTAATAATCTAACATTCATTCATTCATTTTCTTTTTGGCTTAGTCCTTTTATTTATCAGCGGTCGCCACAGTGGAATGAACCGCCAACTTATCCAGCATATGTTTTACACAGCGGATGCCCTTCCAGCAGCAACCCATCATTGGAAAATTAATAATCTAACAACTCCAAAAACAACAACTCAAAAATAAGCTGATACTTACCTCATCTACATAACAGGCTTTGAGAAGTAAAAGAGCTGCTGTAAGCCCAAAGAAAAAAAAAAGTAAAATCTGGTCTGTTTCCTGCTGAAAAAGTAATCGAGCTAATAAGCTGAAGAGTGTGGATTTGCTGTAGAGTGTATTAGTTTGAAATCTATGGGGAAAACCTTTCGCCAATAAATGTCAGCTTTATGGAATGACTTTAGCCCCGGCAACAAAACATTGATTGTTTCCAATTGGCAGGATTCCTTTCCCTCAAACAGAAACCGGGCCAATCAGAAGAGAGTTTGATGGAAAAAGAGTCTCCTCAGCCTGGCAACCGCTTCCCTTTACCTTTGCCTGCTGGCAGACAGTCATAATAGCACGTGCTCTCAACTGTGACTCGTCATTTCTTCAACATCAGGCCATAACTGAAGGAAAAGTCTTTCCATAGAAGAAAAAAAAAATACTGCTAAGTTGTTGTGAACAACTTGAGCTCTGTTTCCACATTAATTTCTCTCCAGA